TTGTTTACACTTTAAAATAAACTGAGCCGTGATAGCTCAGTGTTCGGTGCCTGTAATTGACTACTCGAGCAACCTGAGTTCGATGCCGGGTACCACCACCAATGATATTGTTAATTTTTAAGTGCTGACTAATCACGTGCTCGGCGGTGAAGGAAAACATAGTGAGGAAACATGTATATTTTCGAAATAATAACAAAAAAATATTTCGAAAATATGCAAAGTTTGCCAATCCCCAGTGGGGTCGCGTGGTGGAGATTAGCATTAAAAATCGAAAAAAAATTGTCAATTTGACCTCGTGTGCTGGACCGCAACCGGTGCTATTTAAAGACAATACACACATATATATATGTAGACTGCCTTCTGACATAGTGTAGAGCTCCTTACCTTTAACTGTTGTTATCTGACCTCAAAATGATATATTGTTTTGTCCTATAACTAAATGATTTACGATCTTATTCCCACAATGACTTATCTATGACCTTATATATCTGTGTCCCGGGGGCAAGACATGATATCGTAGTGTTTTAACCTTTTAACCGATTAATCTAGTGGTCCAGTTTTGCGGTTAAAAGTTTTTTCAGTAGTAGAGCCGTTTTACCTCGAATTAAAAACTTGTTTAATATTAAAAAAAAAAACATTACGGAAATTATTTTGCATCGTTTCACTACTACTAAATTTCAACGACCACAATCAAAACTAGTCTGTGTGCTTTAAAAGTTTAAATAGCAACACTGTAAGCGGTCTGCTGCCGTGTCGTTGAACCGCCTAAGGCTCAGTTCACACAAAGGAGCCAACACGAAAGGAATCCTCTATTATCCTTCCAAGCGAATATGTTTTTTTAACCGATTTCAAAAAAGGAAAAGGTTCATAATTCGATTGTGTTTTTTAACCTCCTTCAAAAACGGAGGAGCTTCTCAATTCGACTGTATTGTTTTTGTTCGTTATCTCAGAACTTTCGACTGAGTGACCGGTTTTTACGATTCTTTTTTTATTTGAAAGCTGGTGCTTCCCATGTTGTCCCATATTAAATTCTTTGGTATTGGATCTTGGGCTCCGGAGATACTCGACCATTTGTGAACCGATTTTAACAATCCCTTTTGCATTGGCCTCGGTTTAGATCCCATGTTCATTTAACTATGGACTCCGAAGGTGCATCTATAAACTCCACAAAAGTCAAATAAAAAATGTATTGTAAGTGAGATGTTAGAATGTTATACTTTTGATAATACGATATGATAAGCTTCAATATGCCGTGGTGTTTGAAACTGCAGTCCACTTATTATGGACTGACCCTAAGAATCGCGAAAGGTCCTTACTAACGCTGACCTATTGCCCAACACCGCACAATGGTCAAGTTGTTCAGCTACAGGACTTACGGGTCTATAATTTAGGCGTTATATCACGAAGATTGCCATCTTATACCGCATACGGTTATGGCGAAACAACATTGTGCCGCGTAATAAATTCGTAAATCGATGCTCATTACTTTGGATGAAGTTTGCTTTATTTGTTTTGTTTATCATTTTCCAATACAATCGGCCTTTTGCACTCCAGGGCTGGACATTCCTCCCCAAGCGATTATCTTTTTACCGTTAACTAAAGATTGTGTTCAACTATATGATGGAGCGCGATAGTTTTAATTTCACCGTAGTTTACTGTTTGAAAACGCTTTAACGGTTTTCATTTTGAATAAATTTATGTTCTATAAATAAATGACGTGGCGCAATTATTAGTTTGTGTGATTATATATATTTTTTATTCTGTTGGATATAAATAAATAACAAGGACAGAGTATAGCCTCTTCAGAATCCGATCGTAAAGGTTACAGATCTCCGCGGTGTGTTTAGACCCCGCGTATTTTGTAATAATAGTAATACGCGCGTGCTTTATTGGGAGAATTTCTGAGATATGTATTTATGGACCGTAGCTTCCACGGTTGTCGTACGTGCTAACTGGTCGTTAGTTTGCATTCAGAGGGTTTTTTCTTTTCCTATTTATAATAATGCCCTTACCGTACCGTTATTCTTTATTACAAGGACGTTTCTACATACACGGGGGGTTTATTTGAAAGTATGGTAGGGGGAGTCCCCATACTAAAACCGTCATAAATAGATGCCGTGCGATTCGCGATATGAAATAAAATCAAAAGATTAGTTTTTAAGGGTTTTCTACTGCGCCATCGAGTGAATTTGGTATGGTGTAAGGCTCGATTCACGTTTTGTGACTTGACACAGCTAAAAGAGGAAACAGGCGCGTGCCTCCAGATAAGCAAAAAACCTTTGTATGCCCTGTCATCCAATACAAACATTCCCCAACACAGATGTTAATTATTACTTATGACTTTCCATATTTATTTATTAGTGTTTTCGGTTAGCATTTACGCAGGTATTATAGTGAAGAAAACATTTATAATTCTTCCTCCGTGAAAATGTTTCCGCGTTTCGTTGCATATTTTTAAACGCCTCTCTATTGTGCAACCAGTACGTTTTTATAGCACATCAAATTATCGCTAAATTGTTGGCTAAATGAAACTCTGGCTAAGTATGAGTGAATGTGTTCCTTGATTTTAGACATTAACTAGTTTGGAATTTATTACCCAAGTGATCACTTTATAATACGTAAATAATACAACATAAAAGTGCATTTTCAATTTTAATTAATTTAGAAAAGAAGTATAGAAAAGAACCTTCATATCAAGCATCTCACGGCCTCTTCAAAGGCCACCTATCCAAGTGTAAACTGGTAAGTTTTTTTTTGGTGAATACCCTTTCTGAAATCTCTGTGCAAGCCACTAAGGGGATATACAGCTAAAAGGGGAAATTAAAAATATACTTTGCGTATCGCGAACCGAACCCGAAATTTAAAACTATCATTGAGGGTTAAACTTTCGGCCATATGTCTCGAATGTGGACACCAAAGCCACCAAGCCATCACAGTCTTAACATACAATGCCACTAGCATGAATTCGTCAACCTGGTCGATTGTTTAACACGAAAATTATTGGTGTGGTTAAAGGGAATTGCAGAATTTGGCAACTTGGTTAGCAACCCTTCACTCTCTTGGCTCGTTTGGTATATCGGTCTGTTATTTTAGTGGCAATTAAAATAAAATTCGAAAGTATATAAGCACAGGCTTAATTAGAATTTTGCAATCACAATGTGCACAAAAAACGACCTCCCGCCAAAAGTTACGTTCGAAAACCTGTTTTGGGAGGTCCTAGAGAGGTTTTATATGCCATTAGAATATTTACTGTGAAGAGTGCTTTGAATGTTGTATTTAAATATTTAATAATCCATTAACAATATTAATAATCAATATTGTGATAAAAATCTAAATCAAATATTAAATACGGATTCATTTTCTCATAATCTGTATATAATGAAATGTTTTGTCAGGTTATATTGATAGAATTCTTAACAAAGCAGAACACGTTTATGTTTATTAATGATGTAAGATAATTTCTTTAAAAAAAAGCAAAAAATGTTTTTCCGTCAATCAAATATTTCTAAAGTAAGTTCTATTGCCCGTTTTATTTTCCCTATTTAGGATTTAACAATCAAATTATTTGAAGAGAAAACGCTTGAATCTTTTCAACCTAGGCACTAAGCTGTTGCTAAAAGAAAGTTGGTATATCTTAGACAAGTGCGAAAAGGACAACTATTGTAAGTGCAAAAAGGACGAAAGATGATTAAGCGACGAGTGAACGGTCTGCGCGCTTTCTAAATCTAGAGAACTGCCATGTTATAAAACATTATCTGGGTTGCAGTGTGTATGTGTAATGTTAATATCCACAAATTTCTAGCATTCTGCGTCTTAAAAAAATCCTATCCGCGTTCTGCCTTATTTCAGTCAACAATAACAAAGTCCTAACAAAATTGGGTTATTGAATATCTTTATAGGTGAATTTTATTGCAATTTGCAATTGCAATTTTCCAGTTAAAGCAAAGTCTTCCAAACTACAGATAGGTATGTAGCCTACAGTTTTCTGGTAGGTGAGGTAACAGAATTCCTCCTCTATTAAAGGCTAAAGATCTGATCTGCAAATGAGTGTTAAGTGGAACGCTATGTAGAAATGCGAAGAAACAAACGTTTTTTTTTTATTTAGATATACATATTCATAGTAATATTTCCGCCCTACCAGAAATTTCACTACATAATGGACAACCATGTCGGTGCCGGGATTTACGGCTGGACTAAGCTATCACGGCTCCTGGATCGACACACAAACTCACAAACCACAATCCTCGGTGCCGAAACTAGTAGCTACATCTAACCCCAATTACTAACATATTTTTAATTTATTAAAAAGTACCTGATATACAAGCTGTTGTCCTAGTTAAGTCTCCCACAATGTTGACGTATTTTTATGTAAAGGAATGCTATATATATATATTCTATTGTGTTGTGGTGAGAAAATTAATAAGATGTTATTAATATTCTGGGGGACAGTTATTTATTTTCTAATCTGGTCATCATCAATAAACATAAATATAGACATATATATTGTCTATAATAAATAAATTATTTTTCCCTTATTGTTTTTATTCTTATAATTATTATGCATAAATATGACACTGTGTAATACATTTCTATAAATAAACTTTCAGACCTATCAAATAAAGAACCTAGCAGAGATTACCTATTCTTCTTTCCGTAATTCTTATCATAACGGTTCTTAGTGTCAGTCTACAAAAGCCAAAGTTTGTTTGGTTCGTCCTACACGTGGTGAAACTGCCGCCATTTTAAACATTGCGAAAACCGAAATAAACGTCTGAGTTCGAACCTGTATAACATGATTCGGTGGCCGCGAGCAGTTACTTAATAAGATATAAACGTGTCACAACCAATTAAAATTCTGACTGGATGTATTGAATATATTTTCCATCTTTGTTTCAGGCTTAGCTAAAAGCAAAATAAGATGGCGTCGGATTTAGCACAAACATGAAGTAACTAAACGTCGCGTAAAGGGAAACAAACAAAGCCGTTTTTAAGAAAGCAAAATGTCGCCTTTCTTGAAACAGGTAATAAATTAATAATCTTACGGGCAAAGAAGGTGAAAGAGAAGAAAGAATTATGTGTTGCTTTTAACGTCAACTTTGCTACGTTCAAGAGTTAAAATCAAGTGCAAACGTTCATTTTTTTTAAATCCTACAGATGTATTTTGATAACTCCGTGGCGCAGTTCCCAAGGTATTGGCTTCGGTGTCGGGGTCGTGGGTTCGATTCCCACACGGGACAACTATTTGTGTGACCTACAGATAGTTGTTTCGTATCTGGGTGTTTATCCGCGTGAAATTTATGTTTGTAAAACGTCCTTACAACACAGGATAACGTTTTTAAAGAAAGGCAAAGAAAGGACAACACATAAAAAAAACCGAACTGACTCGATGTAGAAGAATTTATTCATTTCATTTTGTCCTTTATGTAGGGTAAGAAGGATGCCAAACGTTACAAAAGCTGTTTAACCACCTTTCAAATGCTTCTGATTTATATATCTTTATATTTTAAATGAAAATGCAACGGTCATTACTTACGAGTAACGCCAGACAAATCGCTTGCTCCTTAGCAACATTCTTGTTAATAAAAGATCATTTAGAGAACGTGTTTCAAATTCATCTCGAACGGAACTTAGTGTTTAAACAATTCATCTCATATCTTGCACGAATGGGCAGGTCCGTTCGGGTAAGTACCACGACCTCACAGAAGACCGGGGTAAGGTAGAGGTGTTACACTTCTGCGTTTCATCTGGTGAGTGAGGTAGCCGCGGGCTCATTTTATTTAAAGGTGGCAACGCTTTTGCAACCCTACGGGTGTCGCAAATGTCCATGGAGGGCGGTTATTACTTAATATCAGGTGAACTGCCAGCTCGTTTGCCACTTTTTCACATTAAAAAAAACATTTCCATACGCGATGATTGACAAAAATTGGAACGAACAAAACTTTTTCTACGTCGTCAGCTGTTGGCGGTGAGCGGCGTGGTGCTCTACATGATCGGAACAGGCGCCAACATAGCGTACCCTGGAGTGCTGCTGCAGCAACTTCGGCAGCGAGACGCCGCTTTCTCCCTCACACCAGAACACGAGTCCTGGATCGGTGAGTCCCCGCAAAGTCTCCCCAATATCCCGGGGGCGCAATCTGTGTGGGCTTTTTTATGTGAGAAGGTAGCAAGAGCTGGCAGTTCATCCTTTAGTTGATTACCGCTGCCCATAAATAGGGTGTAGATGCGTTGCAACCACTTAATGAAAAGGGCTACCGAATTTAAAAAAAAAAACTAGAAGTGGGGAGATGATAGAAAATGTTTGGCGTCTGTTTGTATGTGAATCGAGGGAATGGAATAGTAGAGAAGACATTGAATTGATGTTAAACTGATCACTGGAATCTGCTAATTACTTGTAACTCAGTGGGTTCTTAATTCAAGCAGATTTAAATATAACCTGTTTGAGTGAGCTGCTATTATTTCAACAATATTGTAATGTATCGAGTAAATTGCGTCAGATTGAGACTGAATTGGTAGGATAATAACTTCAAACACATTATTAGATTCTGCATGAGTACGCGAAAATTGGACTTGATAGATGGAAGATTACTGTCATTATCCTCTCTTAATAATGTTCAATGTCGTCCCAATGTCAAATGTGAAATCAGAAAAAATACATTTGCAAAATAGCGTTGTAGGAAATGTCTATTTCGGAAGGCTGTTATATAAAAAAAATTATAGTCGTGATGACGTGCAGATATATCTGATGGCCAATTTACGAGTCTATATATGTCTACAGATTGGCGTCACAAGGACGTGTTTATATCTCCCATTAAATTAAAGGTTAAATATATTGCTGTTAAATTCGTTCCAACATCTTTTGCTTTACGAAGGGATCGATTTGGCTAAATGCTAATCAATTATTACGCGATAAATTAATCTTTTATTTTTAACCATTTACAAATTTAATCCACACTAATATTATAAATGCGAAAGTAACTCTGTCTGTCTGTGGCTTTCACGCCAAAACTACTGAACCGATTTAAATGAAATTTGGTACACAGATAATCTAGAGCCTGAGAAAGGACATAGGCTATTTCTAATTGGAAAAAAGTGGTGTAAAAAGGTTTGAAAATATCTTTCTTTAAAAAATATACATATTTTTTCAGGGAAATATATTTATTTAAGGGCTTCAACGCGAGCGAAGCCGCGGGCGAAACGCAAGTGCTTTATAAATAGTAGATTAGAAGTTGCGAACAAACGAACTTGCAGATTTTTTTGTATAAATAATAGTACACTTTCCCTAGCTTATCGAGTTCTGACCGAGATGCCTTGGCTAAGAGCCCTCGATGACTTTGTCCCCAGCTTCGATCCTCGGCCTGGCTCTCATATCGGGCATCGTGGTGGCGCCGATATGCCTTCAGAAGCTGGGCCGGAAGCTGACCAACCAGCTCAGCACCCTGCCCGCTATGGGGGGGTGGGCGCTTCTGGTCGCCGCAAGGGGTCCCGCCGCACTCCTCATCAGCCGCTCCCTCCAGGTGACATTGCCTACCCTTTCTCATCGGCCGTTTTGAGTCCACTGCAACGTAACATTCTGCATTATTTCATTAATCAATATCTGATCAACGGAATAAAGAACGAACGTAATGTCAATTTTTAACAGTTTATCAAGCTTACCTTAGTTTTCTTAGTCTGTTATCTTAAATAATATTTTTTTAATAATCAAATTATTTTCTTTTTACTTTCCTAATGGACTATGTAATCATTACACTGTTTAATTTTCTAATATTAAATTTACTTTAATATTATTATTTAGACATCTGTTCTGTAGTGATATTCGTTTTTGAGAGCAACTACATGTGTTAGTTGTTTTTTATTTGAATACCATGCTTGAAATACACTTTTCAAAGAGCGTAGGCAAAGTCGTTAGAAAACTTAAAGAACTGGTCTTCTTCATAATACGCAGGTTGATTTAACCACAAAAAGTTTACGATTTAAAGCATTGTTGAAACTGTTCTTTTCCTCCAGGGATTCGGGATGGGGCTGCAAGCGGCCGCTGCGCCGGTCAGCATAGCGGAGTACTCATCGCCGAAGCACCGCGGGGCGTTCCTGGCCACGATCGCCTTCTCCTTCGCCACCGGCATGCTGGCAGCACACGTCTTCGGCACGCTGCTGTACTGGAGGACGGCCGCCGTAGCCTGCGGCTCCGTCTACGCGGTGTCTCTCATACTGATCTCCGCCTCTCCAGAGACCCCGTCCTACTTAGCGTCGATAGGCAGGAGGGAGCAGTGCCGCAAGGCGTACAGGTGGCTGAGGGGCCGCGACGAGAACTCCGAGAAGGAACTCGAGGTGCTGCTCAACAGCCAGCGGAGGAAGGTGGGGCCCAAACTGGCCCAGTTCACCTTCTACCGGCAGATGATCGCGAAACCGGAGTTCTACAAGCCCACGTTGATTATGATGTTCATGTTCGTGCTGTTCCAAATGTCCGGCATGCCGTGGTGCCGTCGTACACCGTGCCGATGATGGAGGAGCTGTCCGGCGGCGTGATCGAGCCGTACACCAGCATGCTGATGGTGGACGTGGTCAGGTTCCTCACGGCGATATTGGCGTGCGTCGTGGTCAACAAACTCAACAGGCGGAGCGTTCTATTCATCGGAATTTCCGTCAGCGTCGTGTCCCTGCTTACCGCCGCCGCGCTCCTCTACCTGCGCGACGGCGGCCACATCCCCGAGCGGTACAAATGGGCGCCAGTAGTGCCGACACTGCTGTACATCTTTGGCAAGACGCTGGGCATTCTGCCCATACCGTGGGCGATCGCGGGCGAGATCTTCCCGCTCGCCTACCGCAGCATCGGCAGCGGGATATCGGGCATGTTCCTCTCGATCACCTTCTTCGTCGTGGTGAAGACCGCCCCGGAATCTTTCAACCAGATCGGTGTGAGCGGCACCTTCTGCGTGTACGGCATAAGCATCGCGATATGCGGCCTCTTCTTGTACTACCTTCTGCCTGAAACGAAAGGCAAGACTCTGTACGAGATAGAGTGCCATTTCAGGGGGGAGAAGGAAGCGCTCTCTAAGGCCGAGGTCTGTGAGAAGGACAAGATGCTGGAGTTGAGGAGGGTGGAAGAGGGTTGACGGGGAGGAGGGAACCACGAGGAAATGCTCACCAGCTCGAGGGCTGGCCCCGATGGCAGGCGGTAAAAATCGGTATTATGTTATTATACGAGCAGTAATTATAATATAACAACGAACACTTTGGCAGTGATTCCATATTTGCCCGTAGAGATACGGCATGCGTTCAACGTGTCATAACTATATTTCGTATAATTGGTGATTGTGAATCAGAATATTGCCATTTTCAATAAATATAACTTGAGTATGATACATGGTCGTTTTATTAACTACCGATACTCATGACATTAACGTCACTGGTATGGCAATTGTGTTGCCCACCTGACCTTTACCCAATTACCACAATGGACGACTCAACTTCACACCAGTTTTGTTACACTGTTTCTACTAGTGCCCATTCTAGGTATACTCAAATCAATCAATCAGCCTCAGTAAATGCTCAAGTTTTAGTGGTGACTCATCGCGTGCTCAGCGGTGAAGGAAAATTTCTGGAGAAATATTTTTTAGGACACATTTTTCCACAACGTTCTCTAGTCCCAAACTAAGATACGCTTGCACTGTCGTTATTAGATAACTGACTGATAAACATACTTAAACACACTTTTCTTTTGTAAATAAATACATATTATGCGTATATAACCCAGACACTGGAAAAACACTATGATCATCACACAATATTTTTCCAGTAGTGGGGATCGAACCCACACCCTCCGGCGCAGGAGGCAGGGTCACTACACCCCATGGCAATCTGGTGGTCGAAAACCCGCATGTGTATAAAAAAATATATTTTGAAGATATGTGAAGTGTGCAAAGCCACAGTAAGGTGGCGTGGTGCACTATGCCCTAATATCCTATGTTTAGAGGTCTTTTCTCAGCAGTGGGACATACTTTACTACAATTTACTTTTACATGATTCAACGTTATTTTATAATGCCTTCTTGTATTCACTAACATAGTCGATATCGAAATAAAATAATTTCCAATTTTAATGGCCAAACACAAACCTTGTTTAGCAAACTTGAAAGTTCAAATAATAACACAGAAGTTAAAATGTTATTGTTTTCATGAAAACCAAAGGCCCTCAACGTTACAAGTAGTTTAACATAACGATGCCCTCGGAGCCAATCCAAACATGAGCCGTGATAGCTCAGTGCCCGTGCAGTGCATTCGCTTTTAATTCAACGTCCCCTAGTAAGGAGTTCAAGTCTCGGTGCGGACACCGATGAAATTGTTAATTTTAAGCGATGACAAGCTCGACGTTGAAGGAAAGCATTGCAAGGAAACCCGTATATTTTTGAAATGATATAAAAAAATATGTGAAGTCAGCCAATCCGCAGTGGTGTCGCGTGCAAAACTATGCCCTAATACCCTTTATACAGAGACCATTGCCCAGCAGTAGGACATTTATAGGCTGTTAATTTACTTATTACTTTTACTTTAACAATTTACGTTTTGTAGCTGATAGGGAAAAGAATTTCGTGCTCCAAACTAACTAACTAAGCTCTAACTAACCTCTCTACCTTCTTTGTGCACTCATCTACAATAAATACATACAACACATAAAAAACAAAATAGAAACTAATCATTCAATTTTTTTAAAGTCTAACCCGCTTCTTTGGAGGATTATTTTTAATCCACGGATTTTCGGTATTAAAAAAAACATTTCATAACTATTTTCATTTAAATCTCATTTTCATGGTTGAGAGAATAAACTTCATGTAACTATTTTATTTAAATAGCACTTCAATAATTATTAGGATATTTTAGATGAATTTACCTAAAGAAAGTTTCTGAATTGGAACAATGAGAATCCAGGTATAAGATTTGATACTTTTAATACTTCACAATCAACAAACAAACTATACATAATTTAAGGGTGAAACTGAAATTGCTATAGCGAAACAGTTTGAGTGGCAACTGTGAAAATTAACAAAACACAGAGGCTAGCATCACAAATTTTAAACCTGACTTGTGCTAAAATGATATAACTCCGCGTTTAAACGGACCTATTATGTCGCGAGCCGTGACAGGTGATGAAGCTGTCGCAAAGCAATACAAAGTACTAGATGAAGCCGAAAAAGTGAAATTAGTTCATTGTGGATTAAAGTAGTGGTGGAATCTGCGACCTTAATTCGCGAGTCGATCATCACCAGTACCTCAGTGCATAAGGCAAATCTATCAAATACTCACAGCCTTGAATAATTAACGTTATCATAACATTAAATTTAAATATAAATTGAATTAAGAGATAAAAAAAAATTCGGTAAACTTTGTTGGCCTTTTGAAAACTATCAACATATTAATTGTTATTAGTTGTGACACACAAAATTTCTGAAAATATATTTGTTTTCGCGTTATAAATCATTTTTAGATACGATCAAACAAAACTTTGCGGTGTGAGCTCTTCTTTAACTACATTTTAATGCTGAATTATTAACAGTTTTAATTACATTTAATTTTTGATTTTTATGAAACTTACTTTCTAAAGTCTTAAATCGATTCGAACATGCTATTACAATGCATGATCAATACTTATGTATCATATACGACAATAAATAATCTAACCTGATATATACAATATATGTAGAGATGCCAGAGCATTTAAATAATTATTCTAATTACATAAAGCGAAAAATGTCTTACCATGTCCAAACAATGCCTTTAATGTAGGTTCTTGTTATTGTGTGTTTTTTTAATGTCAATACCTCGTAATAGACGGGAAAACCTTTTTAGATTTCCAATTACTACTAGGGTTTTCACTTAGGCCAGTATCATGAATGAAAAATATACATGAATGAAAAATTTATACAGCATGGCGTTACAACCGCAACAATAAATGAACACACTTCTAACGCTACTTGCCAGTAATCATAAAACGATATAAACGTTAAAAAATTCATAATTAAATAAGAAAATAATTCTCAAAGTAACTAATTAAATAAACAAGAAACAAAAAATTAAATAAACAAGAAACAAAATTTGTAACATCCTAACAACTACAACTGACTGATTCATACCAAACGTCGCATTACAAGCCTCTCCTTCTAACAGTATGTTTTGTCTCTTTTAAATTCATTCAACCCATTCATATGCTTTGTGAACTTTACAAATGAACTTTACGTTAGAATTTTATACGTACGGGTTTAAATTTTTTTGTTTTGGAAAATTTAATAACTCTGTAGATATTGATGTTTTAAAAAAAAGTAAATGTTTAATACAATTTCGAAAAGTTATCCCCTATATTTGTGCTGATTTAATGTCGCGTTAGTAACGCCACGTTGTATATGGGTCTGGTCTGCTTCACGCCACCACACCAAAGCACTAATGCCCGGTTCTTATATTCAACGAACGGCCGTGAGTTAAATTGAATAAAGAAATAAGGCAAGAACCAAGCATGACGCCGGCAAAAGCTAGCTAATTATATGAGAGCTTCGTCTTCGCGTGTCCGAGTGGGGCTTCCCGTTCAGAGGCTGCGAACTTCTGTAGTCTTCGGCCGACCAGCCGCGGAAGCTGTTCTCTATATCCTGCAGGGTCCTGTCCTTCGTCTCTGGCATCATCAGGTATATCACGATCAGGCACAACACCACGATGCCCGCGTACAGACAGTACGTCCAGGGTAAGCCGACGGAGTGCGTCAGCACCGGGAAGCTTTTCACCGCGACGAAGAAGTTCAGGGAGAGGGCCAGGATGCTGATGCCGCCGCCCAAGCCGCGGTACTCCAGCGGGAATATCTCGCCGGAGATCGCGAAGGGAATGGACGAGATGCCGATGGTGAGGGAGAACATGTAGGTCCCAATCAGAAGCAGAGGCACCCACTGGTTGTCGAAAGGCAGGGTTCCGTTCACCTTGCAGTAGACGTAGGCCGCCTTCCCCATGTAGCTGAGGACGCAGATAGACGCGCTGCTGAACAGCAGTGTCCTCCGCTTTACGGTCTTCATCAGGAACACGGCCAGGACGTTGCAGACCAAACGCTCGATGTCCAGAGCGACCATGATCAGCTTCGCGTTCGCGTCGGGCCCCACCAGCTGGTGGACGATGTCCATCACGTAAGAGCTTATCACGTTGATGCCGGCGAATTGCAACATAATGTACAGCATGAACATTATGATGACCGGCTTGAAGAACTCCGGTTTCCTGGTCGTCTCCCACAGGTAGCTGAAAGAGCGACCGATCCGCCGAAACAGAGACTGTTTCTGCTCGACCACTACCGTCTTTCTTGCCGATTTCTGAGCAGCGATCATGTCCTCCAGCTCCATCTGCTGCTTCGAGTCGCGGCCCCTCAGCCAGAAGAAGACCTCGGCGCCCTCGTCATAACGGCCTTTGGAGATGAGCCAAGAAGGCGATTCTGGTGCGTAGATGATCAGTAAACAGCTCACGAAGGTGATGAACGAGCAGATGAGGGCGTTCTGCTGCCAACTGAATAGGGTACCGAGCGCGTGTGTGGCCAGCACGCCGATGGTGAGGGAGAGCGAGACGCTCGTGAGGAAAGCGCCCCGGTTCCTCGGGTCAGTCATTTCGCCGATGATGATGGAGCCGAGCGGACCCAGCATGCCCATCGCGATGCCCTGGAGGAACCTCGCGACGATAAGGCCGGCGACGTTGTTCACCAGCAGCAGCATGAACCAGCCCGTCATGTTGGGCAGGATGGTGAGGAGCTGCGACCTCTTCCTCCCCACGGCGTCCATCGTGGGCGTGATGATGATGTTGCCCACCACCAGCGCGAACCCGATGATGGACGCTGAAACGTTAAGGGACAGTTATGGAACAAATTTATTTATTTATTTATTTATTAGACATACCAGTATTCATATTAAAAAATTATGTAATATCAGAATAAATGATGTTCTTATATGTACACCAATGACAGGTATGTACAACTTTTATAATAATATGGCACGTAGTTTTATTAGAAAATTATTTAAAATTACCATAAATATGTACTTAATAAAAAAATCTTATTATAAAAAACGCAATAGGGTTTAAAAATGTGTTACCTTAAGTTATATAGTAATGTAGTTGTATCATTAGGACAGGCAACCTAGTGTGGGGATCAGTTAATAAAGCATATAATGTATTTTTTTTTAAATGAAGTAATTTCTATTTTGTAATTTATATATAACTCAGTATTTCACTGCGGCTGCGGCACGCGGCAGCCTTTACTTTTTCAGGAATGGGAAAATTGTCCGGAAAAAACCACGGGCCTCACAGAAGACCGGCGTGAAGAAAAAGTAATATACTTCTGCGTTCCATTTGGCGAGTGAGTAATCACTTAACATGACGTGAACTGCCATCTCGCTTGCCACCTTCTCACATAAAAAAGATCGAATACGCAAAGTACCGCTCATGCAGTGAAGGAGTGTCAGATTTGGTATAATTCAAGTTTATAAGTCAAAGTCAAGTCAAATATCTTTATTCAATATAGAAGCATTCACTTACTTATTGATAGTCAAAAAACTCTACCACCGATTCGGAAGGAAAGCCACTGACCTGAGAAGAACCGGCGTAAGAAACATCAGCGGGACATTTTTTTTTTACTTGCCAAAAGAATTACAAATATGTGTACAATTATTAAATTCCACTTGAAAGAGCCTGGAGCCATCAATTCATTTCCAGAGTGTGTTATCATTCAGATAATCACTAATACTATAATAGCCATTAACACACAAACGTTCCTTTACAAGTTTTTTGAATTTAGCAACGGATTACAACCGATTTATATGGAGATGAATATTTTTAAGAACTATAACTGAGTTTTATAAATACGCTAGCTTTTCACCCGCGGACCTGCCCGCGTTGAAGCCTTTATATAATAATCTCATTAAAAAAATATTTAAAATATCCTAAGCCTTTTTAATACCTCTAAGAATATGTTTCGTGATAATTGGTTGAGTAAAAAAAAATCGGGACTAAAAGGAAAATATCGATATTTTCTCTTCGATATATCGATGCCGATATTGATATTTTATAAATATCGATATATCTCATCTTCACTTTCGGCATCCCTATGCTGTCTGTTCCCCACGATCTGCGGATCGCTGTCTACTCACCGATCCAAGACTCCTCGGCGGTGGTGACCTGTATGTGCGAGTCGGGCCTCCTCAGAGCTGGTATCAGGATGGCTGCGTAGCCGATGACGGCGCCATGCCCAACGATGTTCAGGGCCACACCCGCCGTGATGAAACACTGCATTAACCAATGATATTATATACAAACTAGCTTTTTTTATGTCAAAAGTTGCCAAGCGAGCAGACGGTTCACCTGATGTTAAGTGAATACCGCCGCCCATGGTTATCTGCCACACCAGAAGGTTTGTAGATGCGTTGACAACTTTTTTGAAAATACTCCGTAAGGCTCCGACCACCATGTTTACAAGACGAAACGCAAAAGTTTTATACTTTCACTTTACGCCGGTCTTCTGTGAGGTCGTGGTACTTACCCGGACGAGCAACGGTTCGAGGCTGCTGCGTGGCCCTACCACCGAAAAGTACCCGGCATATGTTGTTTTGCCATATAAATTTTTTCTAGGGAATTTTAGAGTAGAAAAAATGTTTGAGGTGGACCACTTATGGGTATAAAAATTTGTCATAAACCTATTGACATACCTACTGAATATATGTAGAAAATTTCATCAAAATCGGTCAAGCCGTTTCGGAGGAGTATAAACAATAAAACTGTGGCACAAGAATTTTATAAATTAGATAAGAGGTAAATAATGACACCAGAGCACCTAAACTGAGGTACTCAAATTACACCAATTAGTGTAACTATATTGCAATTCTATAGACTGCTATATGTCTTTCCGTATCATATGTTCTGTATAATGTAAAGATGGCAATATGGGCGTGCGTTATCTATATTCTATATTATTAAACATCATTGGCAGGAACAAATGAAAACCATTTATCTGTTTTGACTTTGAATAACGGATGTTTAGAGGATATATTTTGATGACTCCGTGGCGCAGTTTCCAAGGTATTGGCTTCGGCGTCGGGGGTCGTGGGTTCGATCCCCACACGGGACAACTATTTGTGTGACCCACAGATAGTTGTTTCGCATCTGGGTGTTTGTCCGCGTGAAATTTATGTTTGTAAAACGCCCTTGCAACACAGGATAAATTTGTCCTATAGTAAGGGCAATGTTTTTTAAAAAAAAAAAGAAGAAGAAGATATATATGGTAACGACCCGAATGGCGTTCTGCGCCAGAGGGTGTGGGTTCGATCCCCACTCCTGGAAAAATATTGTGTGATGAGCATAGTGTTTTTTTAGTGTCTGAGTGTTTATATATGTATAATGTGTATTTATTTACAAAAGAAAAGTATTTTTGAGTATGTCTATCAGTTTTCCAGTACCCGTAGTACAAGCATTGCTTAGTTTGAGACTAGAGAACGTTGTGTAAAAAGAATGTGTCCTAAAACATTTTTTTATTTATTTATATAGGATCTCTGTATAGCGGACGCCTTTGCCCAGCAGTGGGACATGTATAGACTTACGTACATCTTCAATTCATAATTTTTTCTCTAATTAATTTTTAATTCACTCGGGTGGTAACTCACGAGTCACTGTTTGTAAAGTCAATGTCATAAAGTTTATATGGCAACAACATATTTTTAAGTCTTAAGTACGAGGTGCACAGATAACTTATCCACTTGGATTGAATGTGAATTAATAAACACTGATCGCATTAAGTACTACAAGTGATAGCGTTATCCTACGTACATATGAAATATATTTATTTAATTCTGGTATATATGTTAAATTGCCCACTAGTATATGGACCGGCAAGCTCGCATCACGAGTACGACTCAGCCACTTGGCCATCACTCCTCACTCTTATCTCTCTCTTCTTTAACTTCTTCTTTCTTATCATCTTCTCTGCCAATATCTCACCTAAGTTGTTGGCACAACAAGTGCATTGTTAATTGTATTAGCTAGGCTTTAGATTAGATAACGTATAGTTAAATATGTGTCCTGAATATATTTACTTACTTTTAAAGAGACTAATATAAAAGGATTGGCTTCCGATCAATCATTACTGACGATACACAATCGTGGACGCAATTGTTTGCGTGAAACGTTTGTGTGCTTTGCTCTTCTGTCGTTATCGGATACAACAATTGCGAAACTCGATTGCAAACAAAGCTATTGTTTCGAGTGATCGATACGACGAACAATCGTCGATCAACACGTGTCGTCAACGATCTCTGGTGCCTCGTTCTGCCTTGCCCACAAATCGCAACAAACGCGTGGAAATGACTTTTCGTTCTTGAGAGGTTATACCACCCTTCACGCGTTAGGGGGAATATGATGGGAGGGATGGATGTCGCATCGACACATTAAACGATAATAAAAAATTAACATCGTGAAATTGGTCAACAAATCTCCATTTAGTATTTATTTCACATTTGTGTAGGTGGACTGTACAAGCTCTTAGTTTGCGTGTACATTCAATCAATCAACCAATCAATGATTTATTTGCCATCTAAGTTTACATTTTATAAATAGGTATTACAATAGACATGTATACAAGAACTTAGATGCCCTTTCCAGGCACTGCAAATTTTCTAATGGACATTGCTCACTTAAATATTAATTAAGTTAAACGAATCAACACAAATTAATAATAATAATGCTGAGTTTATTGGTTAAAAAAAAGTGAAAAACATGTAATCATTAGAAGCCCTGTAGCCTGTGATAGTTTACAACTGTGTTACAGACTACAGTGTCTTCCCCTCATAGTTAACACTCATTGTTATTGTAAGAATATGAAAATGAACACAAACTGAATAGAATAAAAAATAAAAATTAAATGAATAAAAATGAAAAAATAGTGTGTCAAAAGTCAATAGCCTGTCGAATATAGAAATGTCCCTTTAAATATCTCTACATAATTATTATAATAATATTCAAATGTCTTTTGACGGAACACCATACCCACAATAACATCACATAAGTGATGAATGTTTGAATATATTTAGTATGAATTCCTCATTTATATATTTCGTCTATGCATTACAAACAATCCACACTACGCTGTGCCGATTTTAACCAGAAAGGCAATAAAACTATTTGCCTAACCAATTGCCTCGTACAGAAAGAAATTAATAACATTGTCAAACGAGTATATCGTAAACAATCAGACACTGTTTACACACCTCAACTTCTAGTAATGAGATTAGTACCAAACAGTAGCAAATATCGAAAAAAACAAAGACGAGTTGCCTCTTTCAGTGATATATTTATATGAAATATTTGAATTTCGTTCGTCGTTTCGTAAAAACGTTCTCTAATCGCAAACTAAAACGCTTGTTCTATGGATACTAGATCACTGATAAATATACTTAAAAACACTTTTCTTTTGTAAACAAACACATAAATTACATTAACTGCAGCCGAAGGACCCAAAAAAAACCGAAACTAATTTAAAAATACTTTATTATAATATAAAAATTACAATATAATTAATACAACTATAAAAGGTAGTGAGTCAGATGGATGCTAGGTCTAGAATGGAATACAATTATTATAACGAAAATTAGGAAAGCGAATATTGGCGAGCTCCGATTGCATCCGTTGACGTCAATGCTCACGTTCTGCTGAGTTGCGCCTCGTGCCACTGAAATGTAACGGGGCCGCTGCTGTGTAGGCTGTTTACTTATTAGGCTAGGTCTCACCTTACTCATATATAAATACACAGACACTGGAAAGAGGTTGTGGGTTCCATCCTCACAACCTCTTTCCAGTGGAACCCACAACCTCTGACCCAGGTCGATATGCACACAAAATTTCACGAAAATCGGTCTAGCCGTTTCGGACTAGTTCAATTACGAACACCGTGAGACGAGAATTTTATATATTAGATTACATTTTTTTTTCTTTCCATTAATATATTAATTTTATTAGTAGATTAAACTCATAATCACAACTAAGTACTTTCATCGCTTTTTAGTTATACGAATTTAACAATATTTCTTAGTTTTCAGAACTATCCGCGATCTCGAGTCGAGATTGCATTGCCTAATGACCCTGACCATATTTCGAAAAGTATCTGTAAATAAAATAGAAACGTAATAACTAAATTTACTCATTGACTTTATCACTCTATCGAAGCACGATAAAACCTGTTATAATTTATTATATTCAAAGTGTAAAGATAAACACTGGGAGTCATTGTTAAAAGAGGCGTTTTTCGTATACACGTGTCTAAAACTCGCAAAGACCACAATCGGCAATAAATAATTTAACGATAAGACTATACTCGACACGCAATTGACGTCGAGCGACCTTAAGATTGGATTGCATTGGAAAACTGGATTAACTACTGGATACTGGAAGGAGACACTGCACAAAATTAACCTGGACTCACACACATCAGGATACCAGGGCAGGTACTAACTATAGGTTCATCTGGGTTCTAGAGAGTTACCCGCTCACGGGCCCACTACCAAAAACCGTCGATATTTCAGATTTGAAGCCCGAACTTCTCTATAAATGTAGGTAATCGATAGTCCGTATTTTTTTATGCGAGAAGGTGTCAAGCGAGCGTGGCTCACCTCATACCAAGTGGTAACCGCCGCCCATGGACATTTGCAATACCCTTATGGTCGCAGATGCGTTGCGACCTTTTTACCCACCAGACGAAACGCAGAAGTGTAACTTCCACTTCACGCCGGTCTTCTCTGAGGTCGTTGTACCACCTTAAACGGACCTTTCCATTCATGTAGCGAACTGTTACGCGGCCCTACCACAGTTTAAGTAAATTTTGCCACTCAAAAACTCCAACAACGAGAATGGGTATTAAAACGATTTGCCAGCCAATAGCGCGGGCTCCCAGATACCTCACTCAATGGACGTAACGTTTTGTTTTCTTGATTTTACGCGAATATTATACATATTAAATGACTACTTTACGGATTTTTTATTTTTTAAAATAAAAAACGCGATAAAATCCGTAAGTAGTTTCATTTATTATGGACGTAATGTTACTGTATCGATACTTCTTCTCCACTCCGTTTTTCGTGAGACAGTAGAAGTACAAGCTATTGTTTGGCTCCACTTATGCAGAAGGCACCTAAGACAGTCGGGTCAGGCTACCTCACTCAACAGACGAAACGCTAAAATAAGCGCATTTATACTTCACATCGCCGGTCTCGACGAACCGACTCTAATCACGCAGGAAAATACAA